TTTAGGATTAGGAAACCCTTTTTAGGGGCCATTGTTTCTGCTGCACCCCATGTAAGGAAAATAGAATGGATAGAGGGCCCACCAGTATGGGTGGACCAATGGCCCCTAAATCAGGAAAAACTAAAAGCTGCCCAATGTTTAGTGCAGGAACAATTGGACGCGGGGCATATAGAAGAATCATTCTCGGCCTGGAATACTCCTATTTTTGTTATTAGAAAACAAAATCAGGAAAATGGCGCCTCCTACAGGATCTGAGAGAAGTTAACAAAAGAATGGTCATCATGGGATCATTACAACCGGGCCTCCCTTGCCCAGCGGCCATCCCTGCTGATTATTATTTAATAGTCATAGACCTTAAAGATTGTTTCTTTTCTATTTCTCCCCATCCTAAGGACCAAAAATATTTTGCATTTAGTGTTCCTAGCATAAATTTTTCTGAACCTTTTATGCGGTATCAGTGGAAAGTGCTTCCCCAAAGTATGGCCAATAGTCACACTTTGTGTCACCATTTGGTACAGCAAGCCATAAAACAAGCCAATTTAGCTACCTCTGTTTTGTGTTATCATTATATGGATGATATTTTATTAGCTGGTTCCAGTTCGGATTTTATAATACAAGCCTTTGCTCAGTTGTCTGATAGTTTAAAAAGATGGGGACTTATCATAGCCCCTGAAAAGATACAGAAAGTAAGGCCTATACAATATTTGGGCTTTCAATTAGGTACAGATAAAATCATTTCCAAAAAATTAAAAATAGATGTGAATCATTTAAAAACTCTCCACGATCTTCAGACTCTTTTGGGAGATATTAATTGGTTGCGTCCTTATTTAAAGATTTCTACTCATCAATTGTCTCCCTTATTCCAACTGTTAGAGGGGGATATGAGCCCTCTTTCCACCAGAACTTTAACTGAGGAGGCCCGTTTTGCTCTAAAAATAGCGGAACAAGCCATAGAGGAACAATGCATATCTTATTATGAACCAGGACTCCCATTTCTCCTAATTATTTGTGAATCCCCTGATTGGCCTACGGGAGTATTAATGCAAAAAAGACCTCTTTATTGGATTCATCTACCTCATGCTCACCTAAAAGTCATCAAACCTTACCATGAGATGGTGGCTCAATTATGTCAGATTGGAAGGAAGGCCGTTGTCACCATCTTTGGTAAAGAGCCCAACAGGATTGTGATTCCCTATGATAAAAACCAAAGATTGTACTTGGACCAGACTAGCACCTCCTGGTTCCTTAGCTTCCTAGATTTTTCAGGTGATATTGATAACCATCCTCCATCAGACAAACTCATACAGTTTGCAACTAGGCATAGGTTCATTTTCCCCCAATGGACTTCCCCTGAGATAATTAAAGGAGCCCTTACAGTCTTTACAGATGGCTCCCATAAAGGAACAGCTGCAATAGTTTCACCTCATGAGGCATGGGCAGTTAAGGTACCTCATACTTCTGCACAAATGGTTGAACTGAGCGCAGTCCTGCTAGCATTAACCCACTATTCTCAACCCCCCGCAAAAAGGAAGATCCTGTTGATACAAAGCTACATTACAGGACATAAGAATTCATATAATTATAATAATTATTATTGCTACTTTTCTGGTATATAAAATGTATTCATATTGTTTGACCATGCAGGTTTTTCAGCATATTGTTTATGATAATAACCTTTTGGTCTAGGTATTCTCCCTTCTCTTCTGCTCCACCTATTTATGGTTACAGGTACATTTATAGATCTACCACTATCCCTGAACAGCTTGAAGCTGGGTTTCCACTGAGGAGACCGGATTGGGACCCCAACACTGAAGCAGCAGAGAAAAACTTCAGGATGTATCTTGGTGCACAAGCAGAAACTTTATTATCCAGAACAAGGATTTAATGAGACATCACAAAAGTTTTAGACTGGTCACTCGAATATTCCATGGACTTAAGTTTGTCTGCAGAACTTTGGAAAATAGATTCACCTTAGAAAAGTTAGGGGGGAATCCCCTCTCTTTCAAGATTCAAATCACAGATGGTGGGATTTTCTGTTTGTCAGTACTACTGCTAAATAGTATTTTTCTGTAATATTTATTCCTGTATTGGAGATCATTGTAATTTTGATAATTTTTCATATTTGTAATTGTTATATGTATCGCAAGATGACAAGAATGTATCAATCTTTTGTGTTTCAATTTGCTATGGCTGTACAAGTTTCAGTAAAGGATGACGCATCTCGGGTGGCCATCTATTTGGCACAAGCCCGCCGTACATAATTCCCTCTCCATGGAGCATCCAGAGATGGGTAAGGTCGGGGCCTCCTTTCTACCAACCTAAGACAGGCAAGAGGGACATAAGCCCTCTTCGCTGATGACGGGTAAGGAGAAAGGACATCCCTGCCACCTAAGACAGGAGCTCTTTGACATACGTCTGGTACCCTCTAAGAGAAACGGGGGAATTATGGAGAGCACAGCCATATTGACCTGTGATTCACCCAAGCAGTGTGGACGTGCCGTCACCCATAGCAACGGGCTAGTTCAGCTGGTGATCTGATCTATTGCCTAGCAGATGTAACTCATAATAATTGTTATTGCTTCCTTCTGGAATGTGTGGGCGGTACTTTTGCTCCCGTACAGCTGGAGAGTATAAAAGGAAAAGGTTCTGTAATAAAGCAAGCAAGTAACTTAAGAAGAAAAGTGCCTCCCGTCTCTCTGTCCTCATCCTTTCAGGTTTAGGACCTGCTGGCAGGATCCTGACGTCGCGGTTCGCGACACAGAACTATACCGACTCAATTCAGGTGGGTGATCCCCACTTGAGTTGACAATTAGACAACACCACCACACTGCCTCACTGTGCGATGTCCTGCCACTTCCTCCAGGGCTCGGTCTAGCAAAGGGGCCACGCCTTCAAGTATCTAGACCTCTCCTCCTTCCCACGCCCATGCTCTGCGTATCCGTGGGGTCACTTCAGTGGGGTGAGGATGCTGCAGCAGACCCGAAGAACTGTGCCCTGAGCCAGCTTCTGCTTCCTGAGTCCTCCTTCCTCCCTGAAATGAGACCGGGGGGTGTATTAGTCAGCTTTTCCATTACTGGTACAAGATACCCAACACCTACAATTTAACAGAGGAGAGGTTTAATTCTGGGGGAGGGTGCATAGCCAAGAAGAGCTGCTCATGGCATGGTGGCCAGAAGCAGAGAGCACAAGAAGGACCAGAGAAAGCAGAAGGGGCTGGGGGCAAGAATGTAGCCTTTCAGCTCACACCCCAAGGGCCCATTTCCTCCAATGTGGCTCCCATTTAGCTATAAATTCACTAATAGGTTAATGCACAGAGGAGTACAGCACCTCAGGATCCAATCACCCCCCCCCAAGCCCCACATCCAGACACATGAACCTCAGGGGAACATTTTTAATCCAAACCATCACGTGCAGGAAGAAAACGTAGGAAGATTTTATATGCGATTTAAAGGTTCTGTAAATTCTCTTGCTGTGTATGTTTAAAGGGCCCCATCGAGGGACCCCTCCCCTCGGCCTTATCCACACTGCAAGATGACAGCATGGAATTTTTAATTGTGTAATAATTTATGAGGAGGGAAGCAAAGAGCAGAGACAGCTCCCTGGGGAGCTGTGGAATGACTTTCTCTCCATGACTCCCTAGGACTCTCCTGTGGTTCTCACCATTTCGGGCCATTAGAAGTCTCTTAGAGCTATGCGTCCACCCCTCACACTGCCGCAAAGAGTGTCCTTCACGCTCCCTGCAAGTGATCGTCTCCTGACCACTCTGAGCTGCATTAAAAAGAAGACAGAGAAAGTAATCTAACAGGGAGTTGTAGAAACTCAATACAGTCACACTGAGATGAAAATTCGATTCCACATTTTTGCGTTCCCAGAGTACCCCAGCACAGTTTACACAGGTTCCTGGTGGGGAGGAGACTATTTGAGTTCCCCCGACTGGCAGGGATTCCCCGATGTTCTGTTCCCTGTGTGCTGATCTGCGTGGCGCCCTCTGCCTGCGTTACAGCAGTGGAAGGTCCAGGGTGGAATCCTGCCACTGTGCTCTTAGTGCCCAGCACCTAGGTAGGAAGTGCACAAAACTGCTTGTTGAGTGGGTGATTGGTAATGGGATGTTGGAGGAGAGACTCTCATTTTGTCCACTCTGTTTACTGACATCAAGGCAAACGGACGCTGAAACCAGGGCGATTCTAATGTGCTTCTGAATTGAAGGAGAACCGGTAGGACAGTGTGACAGACAGGACAGTACACAACGTTCTGCTCCCTTTGGGGCAAGCATTGCCCTTCAGAAATTTTCAAAGGGAGTAAACAAAGAAATTTGGAAAGGAATGTGACTTCTGCATTTCCCGAAGTGCAACTTTTGGCAAGAAGAGAGCCACAGAGGCAAGATTGGCATTGTGAATAAGCAAGCAAACCCGTAACCTGTTAAAGAGAGGGCACAGGCTATTTCCTACTGTTATTAACAGAATGTGCCCAAGTGAGACACAGAATGTCACATGCCAAGGGTCACCGCTTTCCTCACAGGCCGTACAGATGACACATTCAGAGGTTGCAGTGCACAACCCTCCCAACTGTATGCTGCAGCTGTACCTACAGTGTGTCAAAGTTTGACGAGTATTGACTCTCAAGGCCACAATCCAAAATCAGGCTGATTACTTCTCTTTCTAGCTAACAGAAACTATAACTGAGGTAGGCTAGGCAGCTGTTCACTGCCAAGACTAGTCACTGCGATCTTCCAAGCTCTCCAGCTACAGCAAGGTTACTGTGCCACATGCTGGGAACTAACCAGCTCTGCCACCTCATTTTTGGGTACACAGCTGCTGTCCTGACAACATTCAGATGAAGAGTTCCTGCTAAGGATTCAGGCTGGAGTCAGGGAATTCAAACTCTGGGCTGAATTCAGATTTTCTCCACTGGTCCCTGAAGCTGATTCTGGTTGTGCAAAGTCTCTCCTCACCGGTAGAGGGCGCCTCCCCAGGATGAGAGTCCCTGCAAGGGGACCATTTGTCCAGCCTGCCCCAGTGGCCATCAGAGACGCAGGAAGCAGAACTTCTGCTCTGGGTCACAGGGCGCCCATCCCACGGACTCTGCATAGAGATGGGATTACTGTATTGCTGCATCAACTTTCTTTTCATTATTATTTTTCTGTTAGAAAATTGCGATTTCTTTTTTTCCCTTGAAACTTCCTATCGTTATGATTCTGTTTCTTAAAAATGTACTATGGCTAAATTGGAGTCTAATGTGAATGTGTATATATTTTATTGAGGTATTTAAACATTATTATCGCTTACATTGTGTGTTTTCTGTTTATATTTTTTCACTTGTCTACCATTTTCAGCTTGTTATTAGCATTCTCAAATTTTCCTCATTCCTTTTATTTTATTTTTTCTAATGGATTAAAGTGAGTACTTTAGTGGTTCCGTAGTTAGTAATAGTTTCGTAGTTGCCTCCAGAACTTCAACCTGCATTTGATATAATGCTTAATAAAGTTCCTAGTTTCTTCTCCCAAGAAAACTAAAAATTGTATTCTGGGGATCGTTGTATTTAAAGATCCTTTCATCAGTTACGAGTGGCCCTGGTGATTTTTTTATAGTACTGGGTTCTAACCCCATAAAAAGGAAGATACTTCTTTTGAAATACTAATTGGTTCCAAGGTTCTTGGACTGATAAAATATGCTGAGAATGGGTCCAAGAGACAGCATCGCGTAGAGCACAGTTTAACCTCACCAAGTTAAACTGCCCTGGAGTTCCTAGTAACAGCCTTTGACAGGAATGCCTGCAGCCACTCCATTTTTTGGCAGGGATTTCTCCATCATTCTTTACAAAAAATATTATCAAGCTCATTGATACCAGTTCATGGCCTTTTTCTGCGAATTCACTTTGAGGTTCTGCGTGTTTGTGTTAATATCCTTGATGGGCATGCCTCGTGTAACAAACACCTCTGAGACTATTCTCAAACTGTAGTTAGGGTTAACATACAAAGACTTCTGGCCTTCTATCTAGGTTTGGCTTTTTTGCTGTCCGTATTAAGATAATTTGTCACTCAAGATTGCTTGGAGATTGTCACTTCAGGTAGTCCTGGCTGGAGAGCAGCTAGCCCCTGAGACTGGAGAAAATGAAAATAGAGAGGCAGGGAGATTTGTGGAAACCAGACTGCTGGGTGAACCATTTTGGGTGGCTCTCATTGGGGCCATACTGTTGTGAAGGTAATGTGGATCAGACTTGCCTTTCAATAAGCTAGTACATTTATACTATTATATTACTCTGTCTCCTAAAACTTTAGCAAGAAAGCTGCATGAGTTTGGTTTGTGCATGCATGTGTGTGTGTGTGTGTGTGTGTGTGTGTGTGTGTGTGTGTGTGTACTGCCCTTGAGTATATGTCACATGATGTGTCCAGGTGATAAAATTCCCAAGGAATTCCATCCAACTTGCCTGATAGATAAATGACAGCTCCCATAAATTACATCTGTCATATTAACTCAAGTGAATTTTAGTCCACATGCTTTAGATAAATGTTTGATAGATAGGTTAATTTAAATTCATTGCTAAAATAAAAATAGAAATGTGTTCAGAACTATTAGCACACATTTTTGCCTAGGTTGCTGGACAGTCAAGATTGTAGTCATCTCTGTTACATGTTTAGATGCAATTCCAAAACTTTCTGTATTTCAAGTAGAGCAGCTTTTAGTGATTTGATAAAGAAGTAATTTAAAGTAATGATCACACTTGTCTGGAGTCTCAATTTTCAAGTGGGATAAATGTCTATAAATGTACATAATAAAGATAAAACATTTGAGAATTTTGTAAATAAGTTGGAATACTGAAACATGACTTACTAAATATAAATTCAAATACTCTTGGCTTCTTAAAGTTTACAAAAGACAATATACCTAGTATGCCTAGTAAATGTTTTCATAAATTGATAGCACATGGAAAAATAGTTTAATTTTGCCTTCTTGAATTTTCATAAGAAGTAGGATCATTTAAGAGTTAAAATTCTAATTAACATGTGCAATTCCATGTGCAAAGAGTGCCAGAGGAAATTAAGCTGTGTCTTAATGAAAAACTATTTAAAAGCATAAAATTATGCTATGTTACTGTTATGGCTTGTGTTCAGATGTCCCCCAAAGCCTCAGATGGTATTAGGTGGGGCTTTTTCAGCTGCCACGAAATCTAGAGTATGTGACTAATTCACGGTGTGATGCTAGGCCAGAGGGCACTAGGATTAAGGGTGTGAGCGCTAACTGCCCTGACCAGTCTGAATAAGATAAAAGGAGCAGCAAGCCTTCCCTCATTACTTTGCTACAGTTTGTCCACCATGAACTATTTCTCTGCTAAACCACCCTCCCTTGGGGCCAGCCAATTATGGACGGAAACTTCTACAAACTGTGAGCTAAATGAACCTTTCCCTTTTTAACTTTAGGTGTCTGGTACTTTGTCTCAGCAACAAGAGAAAGCAATTAAGAGCACTACTAACAAAAAGAAATTTTGACTAAATGTAGAGATCCTAAATGTAGATTATTTTGAAATTTAAAGTTAATAAAGTAAGTACAGCAGAAAGGAGCCAGTAAGTAGAAAAAACAAGGAATATGAAAAAGGTTATGAGAATGTTTTTAAATGAGAAAAGATTTTGTATAATGAAATAAAATTCCTCTTATTGAAAATGAAGAAAGATAAGGGCAAAACCAAACGATTTAAGAAAGTTGCAGAGTATTTGAGCAAATCACAAGAGATTTATGAAAGGTGAGTCTTTATGAGAAGACATTTTATGTGTGATTAAGTTGGCTATAATTAAGAAAATTACCTAATGGAGTTTCTACAACTCAAACTTTGATGCAGTAATGTAAAAACAGAATGAAATTCTCTATGCTTAAAAAATATGGTTTTCTTAAAATATTGATCTGCTTTCAGTAAAAATAATGGGACTAGAAAACAAAGTATTATGTTTTATAGAGATAATTTATTGTTTTCTCCTGTCTTTACTATGATTTTGATTACTTAGGAAAACTGAGTCTTAAAGGAATTCAAGCTTATTTAAGCATCTATTTTAAATTCCTAAAATGATAACTTTATAATTCTAGTAAAATCTGATCTATAACTCTAGTTAAATGATCAACTATTAATTTTATAATACCAGATGATATCTGATATTGATAAAAATGTTATAAAGATTCATAAAATTTATAAAAATTAATGGTCCTGGTAGGGCGTTGTCTGTCAGGATTATTATCTTAAAATGCTGTATTCAATAAAAATAACTATTTCCTTTTAATTATAGAGCTATAGTTAAAATTAGCCAATTGTGGTTACTCTAATTCTTTTGTTATCCACAGTTATGCCTCTTCCCTAAAGTATTTATAATCAGACTCATGGAAAATCATCTAACAATTACTCTTAAATACAGTTGTCTGATAAAATTATACTCACTCTAAAAAAATTGTTTTTCTCTGACTATCATTGGCTAAAATTTGTATGACTAATCAAAAAATCTGTTTCTTGGTTCAAAACTACTATACAAACTGAACTTGTTTTGGTTTTATTTGTTTTGTTTTATATTTCTTTTTAAACTTTATAACTATTGCCTTTTACGATTCTGCAGACGTACAACTCCTAGCAAAATTATTTGGTCCAATGTTTTATGATGCCAACCATCACCCACAGAACAGGTAGGTAAGATTAAACTGAGCAGTGGATCCCAATCACTATGGTTCAAATCTAGAATATCTCCCAAAGGTCTCGTATGCTAATGTGTGGGGATTTGGGAAGGTGGTTAA